GGGGGGGGGGGTAATCAGCAGTCACGTGACCATCCTTCTGCTGTCGCTGACCACTCCCCAGTGACTCACGCCACTCTGCTTGGATTCAGAAAGGAGCCCCTGCCGCTGTCCCAGGGTGTGAGTTCCTGCAGCTGCAGAATGGCGTCCCAGGGATCGGAACAAGGACCTAGCTGAGGGCCACGGTGTCCGTGGGACCCAGGGACCCAAGGTGACCCAAGCTCAAGGGTAGGCGGGGCCGGAGAGGGTCGGGAATGGGGAGGCCCTGGCTTGCACTGTCGGTCACGTTTCGTGTGGTATTCAGAAGCCTGCTGACTGCGGCCTGCGGGAAAGGTGGCGACGGGAACCCAACCCTGCAAGCTCCGGGATGAGCCCCAGATCCTGGTGCAGCCGGCCGCACTCTTCCCGCTCAGACTCAGACCAGTGTGGAGCTCATTACGGCCGCTGAAGACCAGCAAAGCACAGACCCAGCCTCCTGGGCGTCTGATGGCCAAGATGATGGAGATCCAGAAAAAAAGGGGGATGATTCCCAGAAGTAGTACATTTCGTTCACAAATACTTAGGATTTCCCAGTTTTCTCCCTCCTTTTCCATGCTGCACCGCGAGGCACGACGGAGGAAGAAGGGTGTGGGCCCAGTGCAGCCCTGGCAGCCCCATCGGCGGTTACGAGCACAGTGGTGTCACCCACGGGCCCCGCCAGCGCACCAGAGTGCGAAATGCTACGGGCTGAAGCCCAGGACGCTGCTTCCTCTCTGTCTGTTTTCCAAGAGGCCTTGATGGGAACGGCTCTGAGAGCTGCAGGGCGGGCTTTTCTGGAAAGAGGCGAAGCCGGGCAAACCCTGGCAAACCACCCTTCAGCTTGGGGCCTTGGACGAGGCAGCAGGACCCTGGCCCTGTTCATGGCCGCGTCTGCAGTCAGGGCTGCGCTGGCCCCAGGAGGTGCTGTCTTGGTGGATTCTACATCCAGAATCACGGCCGCCCCTGGGTGTCCTGACCTTACGCTCTGTGTGGCTTCCTGGCTGAGCAAAGGGGGAGCGGAGGAGGTGATAGATGCCTGCAGCTGAAACCACCTTGTCCTGGCAGCCCCCGGTGCCTCAGACTGCAGCGCTGCACGGTCCAGGCCCTGGCGGAGCGGCCGTGTCCCCACATCTGCCGTCCCGCCACGGGGACCGACCAGCACCCGCCCGTCAGTGTCTCGGCCAGGGTCCCACCTGCAGGCCACCAGGTACAGAGACCTCCGAGCGCCCCAAAAGTTCTCTCACATTTCAGGCTCTTCCGGCCTGGAAGTCCAGGGGGAGACAAATGAGGCCTGAGAGGGAAACCGTTCCGCAGGACAACACTCCTTCACCGTTTCAGAGATCCTGATTCCGCACAATTCAATGTTTTGTTTTGTTTTTTTTTCCTTCTCCAGCACACCTGCTGTGGGAGAAATTCCAGCTCTTCTCACGCAGACAGTAGAAGCAATCCTTCTCTCCAGTCAGGAGACTTCTCGTTCAGAATCCCGGGTTGTCTCATGGTAGCAAATTATTTCCCGTAACAGCAGAAGCTCTGTTTCCGGAAGTGTTTCCCGAGGTCGGGCCGTGCTCAGCATGCCGCCCTGTCCTGTCAGGCTGAGCCACTCCGCACTGGGGCCAGGGCCGGGTCCGCACACACAAAAACCTCTCCGGGGCCACCAACTGTTGTTTACCCACGATTTCATCACCACTTTTCAAGAGTTTCAATTAAAATCACTTCCTCATAGTTCAGGGGCCACTGAGGCGCAGATGAACAAAAGCACCCCGGGACCCCGCAACAGCTGGATCTCAAGAAGAGAAGAGGGGACAAGCAGTCCAAAGAGGTCCTGGCGGGGTCCCTGCTCACGGGCTTTTCTAGTTCAGTTGTCAGCTGAACAGAACAGGAAGAGACCGAGGGAAATGGGAGCAGATGGAGCCGTCGGTCCCAGGAGCAAGGCTTCCGGTCCCGCGGGACTCCGCCGGGATGCGATGGGCGCTGCCCGGGACCGGCAGGAGGGGACGGACACGGGCGGAGTGGAGATGGGCAGCCTTACCTTGATGGAGGCCCCGGCAAACCGAGCCAGCTGCTTGATGTGCGCTCCCTTCTTCCCGATGATGGCACCCACAGCCTGGGTCGGGATGAAGAGATTCACAATCTCCTGCTCTGGGTACTGGAGAGGCAAGGGGGACAGATGACGTCACCACCACCGGGCCACCTCTCTGGCCCCAGCTGTCACCCAGGACGTCCTAGGAGGCCGAGGTGGAGGCCACGCTATGCAAGGACATGGCAAGACAGCTCAGTACCCTTCTGTGGGCATAGCCTGCACGAGTCTGCACACAGCAGGCCCCCTGCTGCCCACGGCTCCCCTCCAGCAGCCGAGTGAACGTGAGGGACGTGAACAGCTATGTGTCACACACAGGTCCCACAAGCATGTTCCTCTGTCCTCACCCCGAAATCAAACAGTACTAATAAACACACGTGGTCTGAGCACAGGCTGCCAAGGCCCTGTCAGAGGGAAGGGAAAGGTGCCCGGCACGGCGAGGAATTGAGTCTGCACCAGGCAAGTGGCCCTGCCCTGACCGGCGGCGTGAGGACCTCCCCGGTGGCCCCCACCTGTCCTGAACCCCGACGACAAGGCTGCCGGCGGTCCTGGCTCCAGGGTCTGTGGGAGAGATGCCCCCTTTGCCGGGCTTTGTTCAGGACACAGGCACCACCATGGGGTCTGGGGCGGAAGTGAGGGGCACTCACCGAGTGATGGTGCGGGAAGGGGCCGAACTGGTGGTGGGGGTACAGGCTGGAGAAGTACCCGGAGTGCGTCTGCAGCAGAACAGAGCAGCTGGTCTGGGAGTGTCCTCACACTCATCCCTGTCTCAGATCTCCGCTCCCACTCTCCCGCTGGGACCGCTGAACGCTTGGCAAGATGTCACTCGATCACAGTAACCTTCTGGGCTAAGCATTCGCCGCGTCTAAGCCAAGTCATGCCTTAGCCTTCCTAGGAACTTGGCCCCAGAGCGATCTCACACACACACACACACACACACACGCACGCACGCACGCACGCGCGTGAGTTCTGCCCTGCCTTGGGGTAAGAAAGGCAGGGCCAGTGGCTTGTATTTCCTGGGAATTCTGAGTCATGGACTCCAGGAACAGAGAGTCCTGGGATAACATCGAAGAGTTACTCAGAACCAGCAGATGTGTTCCACTGAGCTCCAACAGAGACTCACAGAAGGGGTGGACAGATTGGAGACATTGAAAAAGACTGAGAGAGAGAGGAAGAGAATGAGTGCATATGCTGTATGTGAACATGAAAAAAGGGAAGGAGGGTGGATGTGGACCAAAGAAATTAAGAGCTACTGGGAAACAGCAAAGTTCATAGAGAGAAAAGCTGCTCTTTAATTGAACACCTACTATACTAAGACGTGTGTGTGTGTGTGTGTGTGTGTGTGTGTGTGTGTGTGTGTGTCTGTATGTGTGTATTCATAAGTTCTTTTAATCCTCCCAATTGCACTGCAAGACAGGCATGTCTGACTTTATATGTTCTTATGGGCAGGAGATTGGCCAGAGCCTCCAAAGTCTAGTTAACTGGTTTACCCAAGGCCAAGTGACACTGATGTCACTGTTAAGAGGAAAGGAGGGAGCAGGTCTGGGCACCACGGCACCCCCACCTACGTGACAGCGCCCCAGGAGCTGGTTCCACAGACAATGCTGAGATTCAGGGACTCAGCTTTCACACATCCTCTGTCTCCTGAACCTTCGGGGCTCAGCTCCAGGTCATCAAGTTCTTCAGCTCTGAGACCTGCCTTGCTGTGATGCGGGAAAAGGCTGCAGGGATCCCTCATGTCCACAAGAGGGTGCCACAAGACCGGCAGTTTCAGGGCAACCTCTAGTTTGGCAGGCAGGTGGTGAGGTTTGTCTTGGAGCCTGCCTGGGAAGCTCACGGGCTCCACACTCTTCTCTGGAAGGTCCCGCCCAAGTCCTGTAGCTTTTCCTACTCAAAGTTCAGTCCTAAAGCACCGCTCCTTTGCTCTCACAGCAGAAAAAAATTCCTTCAACTGTGCCGAGCCTTCCCTTCTAAAGCCTGTGCGGAACCCAGGACAGAGAAGCCACAGCATGGCTCCTACTCTGGGCCGAATCCTAACATGGACACAACCACACTGGGACCCACCATTCGGGGTAGGAGAGCTTAATGTAAAAGGATAAGAAGGACAACGTCTTTTATTCAGGAGTCACAGCTGCAAGATTGTTGCAATGAAGGGATCCTGATGTCAGCAATCAGCTGGCTTCCGGCAGAGGCCTTGTTATTAGCCTCTGTGGACACAAGCTGGTTTTGGAGTCAGAAGATCTGGGTCTGAATCATCAGGTGATTCAATAAACCATTGTCTTACCCACATATGGATTATAACGCTACCTAGATCTCACATTCACTCAACTGCTTGTTCACTCATCTAAAAGCTACTTGGGTCCCTAGCATGTGGGAGGCACTGCTCCAGGCTGCTGGGGGACACAGTGACTAGGACAGAAACTGTCACCAGGGGATTTATGGTTCACAGGAAGCAGATACAGAAGACAACTTCGGAGGAGCACAGCACCAGCACAGCAGCTGAGGCCTGGATGGCGAGGGCCAGAGGAGCTGGAGACAGAGCCCATGGCAGGCCGGGGAGCTCCAGAGTGAGGGCAGGGGCTGGCTTTCAGACAAGCTTCCTCGGTGACCGGAAATACTAACCTGCCAGACCTGAAAGAGTTAGGCTGCGGTCGTCCGACTTAGGGCCCATGAAACCCCAAACCAATGTGGCAGCTGGACTCACTGTCCCAGCACTGTATGTGGGAGAAAGCAGCGTTCCAGTGAGGGGTCCAGGTGTGACCCGGCCCACCAACCCACAGGCAGCACTTGAGCTAAGTGTGAGAGCACCTGACTCATGGTTCCGGTGCTGCTCGGAAGAAGGGCAAGGACCAGGCTTAGGAATTCTACTCCGGCAGACGAATCCCCCGGAACTCGGGTCTCGGGAAGGGAGAAGACCTGGACAGAGAGCAGCTGTGGGACGTGGATTCGGAGAAGCATGGTTCTACTCAAAGCTGCCCACGTGTCTCTATCCATGGTAGCGCATATCCACCTCAGTGTGCTGTCTGAGCACAACCATCGAGAGCTAGCTGGTGGGAGCTGGAAACTGGTAAGCTCACCATGCCAAAGCAAGATTTGAACACAGGTCTCTGTGCCTGAACCTACAGCCCTGGAGCTTAAATGCACCTCTGGATAGTGCAAACACCGGGGGGGGCCTTGAAGATGTGGGGGGCCTTGAGGCAGGCTGTGACAGGGGCCCTGAGGCCTTAGGGTTTGTTTAATGAATGGGCAGTTCAAGCTCACTGGACATGTATGTAAACAACCAGCCCCATTAAAGATAGGCCTTCCTGAGTCAAAAACCTGAAATCTTCAAATCAAAGGGCTTGTGTTCAGATTTTTGAATTCCAAAAAGTGAGTGTAAAATATTATAAGAAAGCCAAACACTTACAGACAGGAGAGAAATGTTACCTACAAAAGAAAGAGAAATCGAGCTGGTGGCACAGCTAACTGGAAAGCAACTCTAGAAGTAGTCTTCAGCGTTCCAAAGGACAGACGAGTCCAGCATTTACAGAGACCCAAGAACTTTCATTTATGCGGAGGAGAAAAATTAAGGCTCCTTCAGACAGGCAAAGGCTTAGAAATCACACCACGGAAGCACTATTTCCTGCAAAAGTTGTTTGAGGAAATATTCCAGCCAAACAACTCAAACAGGAAAACAAGTTGCACAGCAATAGCCCATAATGAGCAAAGAAACCAGGAAACCAGTGAGAGTTCAGTCAACTCTCACTGCGGATTGAGAGAGACGTATTTATTTACTAAGAAATCAAGTTTACTAATTTGGACTAAAATCCTAGATTATCTCCAGAACATTTAAAAATCGGTTAGAAATAGGGCTGGGGATTCAGCTTAGTGGTTCTGCTGCCTGGCCTGCAAGTGCAAGGTCCTGAGTTTGATCTCTGGTACCCTCACCCCCCAAAAAAATCAGCGAGCAATTGACAAAATCATAATCAAGAGAAGTGTAAATTGCTCTCACAATTTAGTAAGTCTTAGAAATAATATTACAGCTCGGTGTGGTGGTGCATGCCTATAATCCCAGCACTTGAGAGGCTGAGGCAGGAGGATCGCGACAACTTTGGGCCAGCCTGGGCTCACAGAGAGTTCAAGGTCAGCCTGAATTACAGAGCGAGACCCTGCCTCAAAAAACAAAACAGGAGCTGGGGATCTAGCTCAGTGTTTCCACCACCTGCCTTGTAAGCACAAGGACCCAAGTTTGATCCACGGTACCAAAAAAACACCAAAAACCAAAAAACCAAAACAATTATATAGAGCTTGTGTCTCTACTGTTAAAGCTTAAAATAAATATTTTTGTTTTGGGTTTTGGTTCTCTTACTATGATTATTAAAATCATTAGGTAATGATCTGCTAGAAGTCTTTAAGATTCACAAGAGATGGCAGCAGCAGTAGCTACAGTTTATACAACAGCTACTATACACAGACCTGGTTTTTTTGTGGTACCGGGGATTGAACTCAGGCCCTTGTGTTTGGCTAGGCAGGCGTAGTGCCACTGAGCTATACCCCCGGCCCCTACACAGACCTGTTTAACAACCCTCCCACAGCCCCATGGTGCAGGTATGCTTATTTCCATCCTCCGGAAGGAGGTTCTGAACACCCGAGAGCTCACATCACTCACCCAAGGTTACAGAAGCAGCACGTGATAGTGCAGAGATTCAAATGCAGGCAGGCTGGCTCGAGAACCTGAGCTATTTTGGCTACAGATTAATGGGCAAGAAATACTGAAAGTCAATTTATCAGAGAAAAAAAATTTACTAGAGAGAAGAAAAGGAGCCAATAAACCCCAAACTGTTTTATCTTTTGATTTAAAAAGGGAACATTTAAAAATAACGGACTACAAAGAATATGAGGGGATGGGAGCTAAAACCCTGCTGTCATATACTCTTGGGAGAATAAAGAAAAGCACATCCTTGGGGCTGAATCCAGGGAGCAGGGAGCACAGAGCTACATCCCCACAACTCCCCCACCCCTTGTGCGGTACTGGGGATCGAACTCAGGACCTGGTGCTTGCAAAGCAGGTGTGGTGCCACTGAGCTAAATCCCCAGCCCCACTGCCCTTTCTTATTTATTTTCAGGCAATGACTCTCTCAATTGCCAGGCTGTCCTTGAACTGCCCAGGTAATCCTCCTGCCTCAGCCTCCCCCATCAGTACATCTTATGTTCTAAGATTTACACAGTATGTATGAATTCACAAAGCTTAAACATTCTTTGACTCAGCAATTCTATCTCCAGAAATGTATTCTGAGGATGTAACTTGTAAGAGTGAAGATGTACATATTCAAGGACTTCTAACGTGAGGTGAAAATATGGGTCCTGAATATTACATGCAAATATATTACCTATATTCATATACCCATACACATAGCAACACAGATTTTCTCTAAGAAACCTGTATTCTCTACATGGTTGTATTATTTGTTTCATAAATACTGTGAGTGCATTATAAACAAAGCTGGTAAAAATGCTGCTTTCATATGTATACACAGGCCTCTGTGCATGTATAGATTTCTTCCCGGAGTTCACAGCCCACAGGGCCTCAGGGTGCTAAGAGCAAAGCAGCAGTTTTGTGCTGTGCACAGCCGAGAACACCCTGGCTCCTTCCAACCTGGACGCCTACGTGACAAGACCACAAAGCCCGGGCCACAGGCAGGCACACAGCCGGCATGCGGCTCTTGGGCGTGACTGTCCCCTGGCTACAGGCGTGTGCAGCTGCTGCCCAGCGAATGCCTGCAGAAGCCACAGCATGGCCATGCACACTTAGACCAGGCTTGAACATGGAACCACTGAAGGTCGGCAGTCCATGGCTTTTAGTTGAAAAAGGAAATCTTATTTAAAACTTGTTTTATACAGCATAGGAATTTCTTACTTTAGTGCAGTGTTTCTGCACAAACATCAACTATAAAAAAGCTTTCAGATAGGCAAGACTTATTTCTAAGCTTATAAAACATTCTGCTATCATAGGAAAGCTTCTCACCGGGCGTGGTGGCGCTCACCTGTAATCCCAGCACTCGGGAGACTGAGGCAGAAGGATCGCAGTAAGTTCAAGACCAGCCTTGGGCTACATGGTGAGTTCCAGGTCAGTCTCTACATAATGAGACCCTGTCTCAAACACCCCCCACCCAAATATAGGAAAGTTTCTCTTATTCGAATTCAGGAACTAGCAAATTTTATCTGTAAAAAGCCAAATAATAAATATTTTCCACCATGCAGGATGTATGTCTCTAAGGCACTGACTGAACTTTGCCATTGTAGCGAGAAAGAAGTAACAAATGGTATGTAAGCCGGGCGTGGTGGTGCACGCCTATAATCCCAGCACTTGGGAGGCTGAGACAGGAGGATCACTAAATTCCAGACCAGCCTGGGCTACATAGAGAGTTCTAGGTCAGTCTCAACTACATAGTGAGACCCTGTCCCCCCAAAAAACAAACAAAACAAATGGTATGTAAATAAACAGCTATCACTGTGTCCTGTTAAAACTCATTTATAAGAATCACTGGTGATAGGCCAGGGATTCAGCTCAGTGGTTCCAGCGACTGCCTTGAATGCACAAGGACCCGAGTTCAATCCCAGGTACCAAAAAAAAAACAGTAACTGGTGGGCCAGGTTTGGCCGTCAGGCTACAGCCAACCCTAGACGATCAGTGTGTGTTTTTGTGTTTGGTGCTAGAGATCCATCCCAGGACCCCCAAGCTGCACCCTCAGTATATGCAGGTATGACAGACACTATGCTCAAGTGAACATACTTAGAGGATGGTTTGGTACCAATCTGCCCACTAGAAAGATGTCCTAAGAGGGTAGCCTTGCCACCAACCCACCGGGACAGCCCTGAGTGCCAGCTTTGGCCCCGGCTGGACATGGCAGGGCAATGGCGCTGCAGGGGTGCCTAGAGCTGGAGCAGACCTCTGATGTGCGGCTACTTACAGCGAAGGGGTGGTAGGGGGCGGCGGGGGGAGCCCCTCGGGGCCCTGCTGGTGGAGGAAACACCGACAGTCCTGTAGAAAAGATGCCAAGTGCGCTGAGGTTCAACCCTGGTATCAGATTGGCTTGTTGCTAGGAACGGAAACGGAGAAGCCAGTTGAGGGGAGGAGCCAGAGGGGAGGAGCCAGAGGGGAGCTCCTCCCAGCCAGCTGTGGCCCCACCCAGGGATCTTTCCATCTCCCGCTAGAGGTGGATGCCAGCGCAGCCTGTCCGGAGCGGCCCTTCAAAGCTTCTCTGCAGCCCGGGCCTCCTGCACATCCTAACATGGGAAATGAGGGCTTCCTGGGGACCCAGCCACCTCGCCAGTCTTTGTCCTGCCCACTCCGCATTCCCACCCCGCTCAGTTGGCACCCAAGAGACCCCATTCCCTCTCGGCGCGGGGTCTCCCCTAAAAGCTTCTCTCCCACTCACCCAGCTAAGTTCTAGGTGCTCTGGGTTTGTCCTGAGCCTAGGGTCCCCTCTTCCCTGAACGTCTCAGCCCAAAGGCACTGTCTGAGCTCCCGTTTCCTTAAAACGGCGCTCAGCCCATGGTGTTCCCAGCGGCTTAGTCACGCCTGCCCCTTTCAGACTGTAATGTCCTCGAGGATGGAGTTTTATACTTGGCTTTGTGATCTCAGTGCTTCGTACAGAGTAAGTACTCAGTGAATATTTGTTAAAGGACACAGTGCAAACAAACTGGACTAGCGCTTTTTTCTAACTCTAGCCAGAGAGACAGCAAACCCTTCATCAGGAGACCACAGAAGTAAAAATTCCACTCCCCTGGTCGGGGACAACACACAACCTCTGTCTTCATCATGCGGTTGCCAGCTTCACGATCATCTTGCCTGCGCATTCACACCTGAACCTGGGGATGCCCTCAGGGTGGAGGGGAGTTCCCAGCTCCAGGGCCCTTCAGAGGCACAGGGAACGTAGTCCCCTATCTGCACTGGTCTTTGTCTCCCACAACAGGAAGCAGTTTTCTGACCTTTCCCCAGTTCCCACAACTTGCCTTCTTTTAGTGTCTGCACTGGACATCAACACTGGGGTGCTTCACCTCTACACCTCACTAGCTGTCTAAGACCTGGGCATTCTGTGACTCATCTGACAGACCCTGGCTTGGTGCAGAAAGGAAGGACTCCACTGGCATCTCAGGTAACGACATTTGGAGCACCCAGACCCTTCTGAGCATGCTAGTGAGTTTGAGGCCAGCCTAAGCTTCCCGCAGAGTTCGAGGTCAGCCTGGACCACTACTGTGTTTTCCACAGTGAGACCTTAGAAGTACTATGTCCGAACCAGGAGAAGGTCACACCGCCGTCTCCTCCTCCACCTCTCCTCACCCGTCCCATAGTAAGATGTGATGCCTGCTGCTCAGGCGGGGACTGGGGTGACAGAGGGGACAGGGTGCTGACCAGGTGAGGACACTGGGAAGGACTGCAGTGAGGGAGCTGGGGTTTTCCACAGAGCTCTTCCTTTACCGACCCTGCCAGGTTTGGGGCTGTGTCAGTCATCCATGAGGTTGGGAGTGGGGAGAGGGTCTGGAGGAGACGGCAGGCCGTGAGCTGAAAACCGTGGAGGGGCTCATCAGGGCATCCTTCCCACTTCTGTGCACATCAGAAATCATTACAAATGTGTGGAGCCTGGCTCTGCTGATGAACCATCATTTTAAAGAATATTCTGAACGCAAGAGTGGTGTCTCCCTGGAGCCGATCCCCTGCCCAGTTTACTAGCAGGCTATAGAGGGCACAGGCTTCTTGCTTCCCCATAATTCAGCTGGATTGTATTAGGAGCCTGAGCGGGGCCTACGGGACTCGTGGGCATGGCGAATGGAGCGGGCCGAGTACAGCCCCTTCACCAACAGGGATGAGGCCGAGACCGAGACCGAAGTCCTGGTCTGCGAAGCTGACAGATATCATCGAGGCCAAGGACAGTGCAGCTCCAACTAAATCCCTTTCCCTGATTTAGGGCCTCCCCCCATCATGACGGTTACTAATTACAACCCAGTCCTGGTCTCCCTCTGTTCCTTCTTCAGGAATGCCTTGCCCTCTTTACGAGGCCTGCCTGTGGCGTCTGCTATCACAGATGCCTCACACACTATCACCAGATGTCTCACATAGCCCCGCCCATTTCTTCCCAGCTTGTAATCAATAAATACTGGAAGTCTTGGGTACCTGGTGTTTTTGCTACCAGATCCGCTCAGACCATTCCTGATCCCTGCTTTCTGTTTACGTCTTGTTCCTGTGTCCTCATTTTGCCTTGCATTGCAGCCCTTAGGCAGGAGATTGGGGCTCAAGGCCAAGATACCCACTATCTCCCCATTATAAAGTGGGAACTAGGTAGCAGTAATGGCAAAGCCAAACCCCAACCAGTTTGCTAGGAGTATAAGTGAGCGCTCAGGTGGGCAACATTTATTAGGCGATTGAAGAGTGCAGTAAGAGATGTGAACCAGAAGTCAACTTTAAAGCATATATATAAACAAGTAGCAAGACAATATTACAGAAGTTCTTAAAGAGGTGGGGGAATCCTACTTTCCTCACACCAGCTATTTTAATTTTTGTATGTAGTCTCATCATGATGATCCATATTAATTTAAAACCTCAGTCTGACATCATTTTTTTAATGAACACTCTATCAGGGCAGGGGATTTAGCTCAGTGGTGCCACTACCTGCCTTGCAAGCACAAGGTCCTGAGTTCGATCCCCAGTACCAAAAAACAAAAACAAAAAACCTACTGTATCATAAGCAGTTTCTCATTTTACAGTCTTCAAAGTTGTTATTTTAATGGGTTCATACTACAGTGTCCAATTTTGTGGTTTTCATAATTTCTTGGTTGTTTCCTGACCCAATGCGTTTACTTTAAGAATTGGGGGAAACTCGACATACCGATTTTGAGGCGCCGCCTCATTAGCTCAGAGACTATTAATTATTTGTAGAGAGGCTTGGGTCCTTCATGGAAACACACAGAAAACTAGTGGCAAAGAAGCATCAGGCACTCACATTAACGGCCAGCATGTCGTTCTCAAAGGCCTCGCGCAGCTTCTTCATAATCTCTACCTCAGCACTGGCACAGGCTTCCACTGTGCCCTTCACGGTGATGGTTCGCTCGGGGTTGTATATGCTCAAATCCTGCAAACTGGCCAGAGGGAAAAAGAAATTCCTTTCGCTGCTGTTGTTACTGGGGATCGAACTCAGGCCCTTGGACTTGCAAAGCAGGCGGTGGAACCGCTGAGCCAACCCCCAGCCCAGAAATTCTTTTGACACAAAAAATTGAGTTCCAGAAAAATTACAAACAAATTTTGGCAAAGGAGAAGACTGGATTTCCCCATAAAGTATTCAAATCTGACTGGTGGCTTAGATGGCGTCAGTGGGAAATGTGTCACTGGTAACAATGTGGTTGTTTTTGATGATGATGAAGATCATTACACATCACTTACGGTTCTATTCTCATTCTAGGGAAAAGCAGAAGAATGAGCCTGGCATATCAAAATGTTTACATTATTCGTTACTGGACACAATCGGAACGGGCAGCTTACGATGAGATTGTTATCTTGGTTCCCGTCTCATGCTCAATTTTCTTCAAATTTCTGCCTTCTTTGCCGATCAGTCTTCCAACCAATCCATTGTGGGCCAAGATTTTCAGAGGAATCTCTTCAGCTCTAAGAGACAAGAAATTACTTAACACTTAGGAGAGACACGATGGTTGCCCCTGAATAGCCACTGCCCTGCTTTTTTCTTAGGAACGGAAGCCATTCTGTTCAGATACCAAGCGGCCATGGGTACCAAGTGGAGAGGCCTGGCTCCTCACCAAGCCCAGCTCATGAACTTTGATTAACAAAAACTAAAACCATGATAATTCTACTTCCTTACAGTAATTGGTTGGAAATGGATCCACGAGGCAAATCTGGACAAAGAGCTATGGAATTAGAAATAGAACTATCATGTAACCTAGGGATCCTACTTCAAGTTCTCCAAAAGAACTAAAAACAAGTTCTTAAAAGAACCATCTACAAACCCATGTTCACAGCACCACTATTCACAACAGCCCAGAGAAGAAGCCCAAAATATCCACCAGTGAATAAAACAAATGTGGTATATATACATATTCATGATTATTACTCTACCTTATTAAAAGAAAAGAAAACCTGGTGACAAGCTACAATATGGACGAAGCTTGAAGACAATGTGTCTAACAAAAAAAAAAAAACAGTCACAAAAAGACAAATATTCGCCTGCCTCGCAAGTATAAGGTCCCAAGTTTGATCCCCGGTACAAGAAAAAAGACAAATATTGTATGGATTCCACTTATATACGGTATCCCAAGTAGGCAAATTTGTAAAGACAGGAAGTAGTTCACTTGTTCACCCAGTGGTGAAGAAAGGATGAAGGGGAGAGTTGTTTAATAAGAACAGAATTTCAGATCTGCAAGATCAAAAATCCTGGACATCTATTTCACAACAATGGGAATCAATACACATAAACACTATTGAACTGAGTAGCAAAAATGGTTAAAATGGGGCCGGGGATTTAGCTCAGTGGTTCAGCCGCCTGCCTCACAAGCAGAAGGTCCTGAGTTCGATCCCCGGTATCCTCCCCCAAAAAAGGTTAAAATGATAAATTTTATGTAACATATGTTTTACCACAATTCTTACAAACATTTTTTAAAAGGTGCAAGGAAAGATGACCTCTTTTTCAAGTTCAGAGGATTTTCCTGTAAAGACCCAAGGTCCGAATCACCACCACCATCCTCCTAGCACCAAGACGGTGGGAGACATGGTGAGGAGAGATAGGCAGCAAAATGCCCCAGTCTTTGAGCCCATGATCCAGCTGACCTCAGAGTCATGCTAGCTTTAGGACTTTTTGTTATGTGACACAGTAATTTCTTACTACTCACACCGCTTGTGTTTTCTATTACTCAAGGCCAAAGGCAACTAACAGATGGATTACTGTTGTCTCGAAATAAATAGGATGCTTGGAGGAACCCAAGTAGGATGTAACTTTTAGAGGGCAGGGACTTTAATTGGCTTCATTCACTCTGTGTTCCACGCACACAGAATAGTGCTGGGGCCATAGCATCTGCTCAATAAATATTTGGTGAATGAATGATAAGAAAGTTCTGAATCCCTGTCCTCCTGTCCTTTACCCTCTACTTCTACACACCCTCCTTGGGGCTCTGTCACCCACAGAGGAAGGGCCTTCTCTGAAACCCTCAAGTCCCGTCCTGTCTCCTCAAAACCTCGATGAGGGCCTCTCCTTACACGCAGAGATAAGACACTGTGTTTCTCTGCTACGGCACTTATCACACTGCATGCAGTTACTTACTGGTGTATTATTTGTTTAGTTTATGTCCTGCCCACTGGAGCCCAAGCTCCATCAAAGCAAGGGCTGCATTTTCAACACCAAGAGAAGTGCTTAGCATGATGCAGGCACTCTGAAAAATTTACTTCAAAGACATTCAAACTCCATCTTGGCCCTACATAAAAACATTAAAAACCCAATTTACACATCAGCCTTTTTGACGACTTAAGACTTTTGTAGGTGGCTTGCACCTAGGTCAAAGGACCAAGAAAGATGTTACTGTAAAACTCTCAATAATTCGGAAGAGAAAAGGGTTTCCTTGGTTTAAACAATGGCATGTTTCGGGATTTCAAAAGCCCCAAATACAGCAACTAATGCAAAAATGAGAGATTAGAGACGCTTATGCAATGTGAGTGTAGATCTGCAATATTCCCCTTTCAAAAATGGCTTTCATCGTCTCAGTCCAGGAACAGCAGCGCTTGACATTATCTGCCAAATTCATTTTATATTTCACTCATCCCTCGCCCCTTCTCTAAAAACCACCACGAGGGCCCACAGATTTTTTAAAAGTAATACTGTCTATTATTCCATCCCTGGTCCCTCATCCATTTGTAACACAAAATCGACTGGCTTGGTGAGAACTTGCATTTGCCATTCAAACTGATACAAAGCTCAATTCTACTATGGACTCTTAAGTATTTCACAAAAGAAAAGGAAGCAGGAGGGAGCAGAAAAAAGAGGGAGAAAGGTCAAATGATCACTTGGAAGCCACCTTCTACCAGTGGCGGAAATAAAATCTAAATTTAAGACCAAACATGGTTCAGAAGTCTGGTCAAAGTCCTTTTCCAGAACACTAAAGGATGGTTCTGGTGGCGATGCACATTCTTTACCACCTACCTTGTCCATTAAGACAGACACTAGCCACACACACGGTTACTAAACTAGAATTCACGGAAATAAATAAAACACTCAGTTTCTCCGGTGCACCAGTCACGTTCCCAGTATGTGACTAGTGGGTATTTCACTGCACAGTGTGGATACAGCACGTTTCCATCATGGCAAGCTCTCCTGGATAGCGCATGCGTGTTATGTCCCTACCAACAGGTGATGGGCATGTCAGGACCACCAAAATGCAAGTGAAGAAGAGCCACCATGCTATGCTGTAAAGGTATTCTTCCTAGGAACCCATTTTGTAAATGTAATCCCACCCCCCCCGCCCCGTCTCTTTACTGAGCAACAGACTCAGGGTTTTAGCACAGTTCTCACTCTTGTTCTGTGGAGCGAGCTGCCCACTGCATGCAAACTTACAGTTTGGTCTCATCGGCCTCTTTCTGCATGATTTCAAGGATCATGCGGCAGGCTTCAGACGTCCCCTCTGGGGTGGCATGGATGGTGACAGGTTTCTCTGCGGCCCCAGAGTTCTCCTTTCTGTGGATGTCTACCCTGTAGGCAAGAATCAGGAGCCATGAGCCCATCATCGCCTGAGAATGGACCACAGTCCCAAGAAAGCCTCACACCAGCTCACGTATGGCAAGGACGCAGGCAAGAAGCACTGTCAGCACCTGTGTAACCAGTGGCCTTTCCCAGGGAGGAGAACAAGCAGAGCAGGGCGGCCTGTGCCGAACTGAAACCCTTTGCAGCGCCTCTTCAATGGGGTACCATTCCTACAGGGGTGCTGTGTGACACAGGCGCTAATGAAGCCAGTTTGATACATGAGTGTTTTTGGCAGTCTTTCTGATGACTGCAGAAGAGAAGAGTAAAGAGAGAGGGATAATACTGCACACTGGCCCTGTGCCGGTCTCTGAACTGATTGCAGCTTTTAAAAGCCATACGTTAATCCAAACCCAAACACCAAATTCAAGCAGGCTTTCTAGATTTGAGTGTGGATAGAAAACAGAGGCATGCCCTCTCTCTGCCTCCCTTAAGTTTTCAGTTTCCCTTTCACTGGCAGTCTGCCTTCTTCTAGGCTCTTAAAACTAATGGCTCAAAAGCTTGATGACTTTATCAGGCGTCTTTGGGCAAGCTGTGGCCCTATTTATTTTTGTTAACTTTCAAAATCACGTAATCGATTGTATCCCTTTTTACTTTGGCTGTTAGAAAGCCCAGAGCCAGGACTTCAGCCTATTTCTTAACAAGGGGTACACACTTTGAGCACCGATCTCACGTTGATTAAACTTGCTCCATTTTTAAAAGTCACCTTAAGCCATTTTTTGGAATAAAAAGAGAGATAAGTAAAATCACTGCTATAGTAAATGAACTTGTTAGCAAAGAAAAGGCTGATTTTTAAAATAAAAGGAACTGACAGTAACTCCCCTTCTTTACTATTTCATCATTTGTCTCCTAAGATTACACACTCGGAATCTCGTTCACGGTAGTGCCTATACTTTGGGGCAATTTGAACGCTTTGAAGAAAGCAGTGTTTTCTCTTTCACACTGCAAGACACTCAGTGAATGACCCAGACAAAATGCACCAGAGCACAGGCCCAAAAGTGCTATGTGTTAGTAATTTGGTGCTCTGCAAGTTACATGCTTTCTTATCGGTGATTTCATTCAATCTACCTGATTATACTTTCACAATAATCCCGGCAAAACGCAGTAATCTTTTTATAGAAGCAGCAATGATGCAGAGGGGTTAATTTTTTCCCCAACATCATATAGTCGTTAGGTGGTAAAACCTGAACATGAGTCATTGTTTTCAAGTCCCGTACTGTGGTTTTATGAACGCACTAAAATCACTAACGTCCTAAGTCATTTTATGCACGGGCTCCTTCTACCAGTCCAGCTCCTTAAACACAGAAGAAACTAACCCTAAGGCCAGCGTACTTTCTCTCCCGCTCCGGGCAGCAGTGACTCACCACTTCTACATGAGACTAACCTAGGTGGTCTCAAGGAAGGGTTACTCCAGGGCTATGGCTCAGCACAGGAAGTTGATGGTAGGCTGAGCAGGTTCTAGGACCCACAGAGCACCATACCTTGGCTGTTTCGGGACTGGATATCCTCATGTCCTGAGTCAGCTTCTAGGAGCAATCCCTGGCTGTGAGGTCACCAGGGCCCTGTCTTTCACTTTTCAGAGTGTGTCTGCTATGCTGTTAGCATAAAAGCTCCTCACTCACAGCCCCAGCTCGCCATCAGTCTGTTAGTAGTCCTGTTCAAAGTCACTGTCCCGGGCAGCACAGCCCCAGAGGCCCGCGGGTGCCTGAGGCCCAGCAGCACACAGGGGACCCCTCAGAAGAAGCGGAGGAAGCCCCGGAGGCACCTACCGGGACTGGGTCTGCTTAGTGATGTTCTTTATGGTCAAGCCCTCCTTTCCGATGATGGCACCAACAAACTGGGTGGGGACCAGGATCCGCAGCGGGAAATCAATCTGTCTGGCCTGAGAAGAGCCCCCAGGGGCGTGGCCTTGCTCCCGGGAAGAGTGGTCCCCACGCTGGGCTCCCTGAGGGGGCGAAGGGGAGCTCACCTCTTCATCGGGGATGTAGGAAATCTTGAAGGAGTAGTTCTCAAACTGATGCCCACTTAGCTTCTCCATGGCTCTGAAATGAGCAGGGGCGGGAGAGCTTTGTCAGAGAGCAGCGTGGAGAACAGCTCTCCCAAGGACTGGCTCGTTCACTCTGCTCACCGAGTGTTTAGGCACCAAGGATCGCCATCTCTGCTCCTCAGAGGTTGCAGCCACAACGCACAGGCTCAGTCACGTTTCATAAACAATTCTGCATGGGCTTTTACACAAACCATCTGAAGCTCACCAACAACTCTCCCTCACCAACTCTGTCAATATTACTGTAAAGTTACAGTTCATTCTTCCTAACTTTAACTCATGCTTGTTATTAAAAACAGAAATGGCTAAGCACAGAGTTTAAAATCCAAACCATCCTAGATCTTTTCTTTCACATAAACATGGGTTAATACTGTATATATATTTTCTAACCTTTAAAAAAGTTAATACCCTATTTTGCCACATCATTAAATAATCTTTCAATATGATTTCAGGATCTGGTTTCGCATTCCATAGGTTTGGCTACTGATCTTCTATCGTTAGGTATGCGTGCTGTATCCAGTCCTTTGCAATTATATTCAGGGTCTCTGTAGGCATCTCTGCAACTACAGCTCCACACACAGGTCAAATTCCTGGGAGAAGAGTCAGAGAATACCGAATTCTATCATTACTCTTAGGTTTTGCCCAGCGACCTTATGGAAGGTTTCAACATTTACTATCCACAGCAGTTTCAGGGTAACATTTATGTCCCGATCCTCCAATGCACAGAGCACTGTTACCAAATCCTAGCAACAGAACAGCATGCACAGATGCAATGCCCACCTGGGGGCAGCTAGGCAGAGCCTGGAATGGTGAGCTGCTGGTATATACACACGCATGCAGAAGTTAACAGCCAACGAACCATTCCTTCCTTTGATGCAAAATTAGCTTTTGGAAAAATGCTGCCATACCAATGGGTTAAATATGTCTTTATGTGCGCTGAAAACTTAAAAGAAGTACAACTACAGTCCTGGGAAGAGTATTCAACCGAGGTTATGAGATCCATAGGCATGGCCACTCGTGACTATGTTTCTGGTAATGATGACCTGACAGGCACTTTGAGGATCTCCCACAAAAAGTAATTTGCTTTCTATAAAATTCAACCCCACAGTTGTTAATAGCTAAGCTGAAAATTAGCCACCAGTGAAATAAGGCAGTAATGACCATGGATTGGGAAGAGAAGAGGGATGGCAGAAAAGAACCTAAGCCACGTCCTACTCTAAGACAATTCACCCTACCACTGCCACTGAGGCAGATCCTCCTTTCAGTATTCAGAGGAAAAACTGATGTTTCGCAATCTACCCAACAAATGTGGACAGAAAGGGGCTTGTGCATCTTCCTCGTGGCGCACAGAGGAAACTCCAGGTAAAAGGATTCACAAGTGGTCAGAGTCCGTTGATTTGTGTTGTTGCCATTGTTGGCACAGGGGATCGAACTCAGGACCTTGTTTGTGCTTGTGAGGCAGGCACGGTGCCACTGAGCTAAATGCCGTACCCTGGTCAGAGTCTGGAAGACAAGGTGTCATAGGGCTGGTGGTGTCCTCCATTTGCACCCTTGTGAAGATATGGCCCCCACCTTGGCTTGTCTGCCGACATTTCTCATGACGGAATCTCTGTACAATCAGCAAACATGTTTGAGTATGAGTATGAGTGCCTGACACCCCATCGACATGCCAAAGGCTGCAGCTATGTCCTGGACCTACACCGGTATGTCTAGAGGGACTTGGGGGCTTGGGTATGGACACAGGGGACACAAATCGACTTCCATGATCTCTTCAGAAAAGGTTTATCAACACAGGACACAGTGGAAGTCCAAAACAGAGCCATAATAAAGTTGAAAGAAAATAAGCTCAAACCCACTTACATTTTTGCTTCTTCTCTTGTTGTGTAAGTGACATTGACCACGGCAGTTTCTGTGTCTGTGTTAACTAGGGAAGAAGCAAAAGCTATGTTATCATTTAAAATAAAGCTGTCACCCTGTGGCTCAAGGTAGACAGACTAACCTCAGAAAGAAATGCACAAAATACCTCACCGACTCTGAACTTACTGGAATTTGTGTGCTTACTGTCAATGATAGTAATTTGTAGTCAACGGTATATAACACATTTGTAATCAACTGCACACACAACACAGAGCCATAGTTTTCATTTATTTTACGAATACTCCTGCATGAACACGTATGAACATCTACTTTCTTGGTCATTTCACTTTTAATGCCTACAGTGAACTGCAGTGAACAAATGTGCTGTGATTTGCCTAATCACTCCCTTCAACGGAAAATCTGTTGCTCCCAGTGTTTGTTATTCTAAATATTATTGCTTTAAATCGCCTTTGTTACAACACACCATTGATTTTGCATTTTTCTGAATTACTTCTTTAGGATAAAACCACAAAAGAAAAATTTGATGAAAGAAGATGATGCTTTTTAACGCATGTTTTCAGACTGCCCTCCCTAGACAGTTAGATAAGTATTTACTTACTTATTGGTGGTACTGGGGACTGAACCCAATGCCTTCCCACTGAACTATTTCCCTAGCTCTTTTTTTTTTAATGCCGAAACAAGGTCTAGCTACAACACTGAAATGTCCAGGTTGGGCTTGAACTTGAGACCTTCCTGTTTCAAACTCCCAGAGTGTGGGCACTACAGATGTGTGCCACCACGCCTGGCTTGGAGAAATTACTGTACTACTTCTAAGACATGCATTTTAATTTCACGACTTTCTCTTTTTAAAAATAAATGGAATATGGGCCGGGGATTCAGCTCAGTGGTGCTGCCAAGTACAAGGTCTGCCTCGCAAGTAAGTACAAGGTCCTGAGAGTTCGATCCCCAGTACCAAAAAAATTTTTTTTTAAATGGAATACATAAGAAAATGTTCTAATTTTACACACTAAAAATTTTTAAAAATAAAAATTGTATATATTTATAGTATACATCATGTTTTGATATATGTTTATACTGTGAAATAATAAATGAAGCTACTTATATGCATTACCTCACATACTATTTGTGTGTGTGTGTGTGTGTGTGTGTGTGTGTGTGTGTGTGTGTGTGTGTGTCTTTCATCCCGGGGATCGAACGCAGGAACTTGTGCTTGCAAGGCAGGTGCCACTAAGCTAAATCCCCAGCCCTTCACATACTGTTTTTTGAGGTGAGAACACTCAGCAATTTTCAGGCACATAATATACTGTTATTAACTATAGTCAATGTACTTTCTCGAAGTTACCCCTCCTAACTGAAATTTTAAATCCTCTGAACAACATCTCCTAGCCCTTCAACCCCCAGCCTTTGGTAATCATCATTTTATGAAAGTGCTTTATTCCTTCATTCACTTAGAGGCTGAACAATCGCTATTTTTATTTCCTTTTGACCAAACTCCTTGGCTATTTGTGTGAGTTAAATCTAGCAATTTTACACAGAAAACTGACAATTCCAAATAACCTGATTAAAAGAGAAAACAAATGAACTTTAAAATTAGCCAATAACGGATCATTCTTGTGAGTTGTTCTATTTGGGCTCACAACTGTTTGCCTCTCTTTCTATAGTTAGAAATGTAAAACTTTTCCACCCAGGTGGTGGCACATGCCTGTGATCTCAGCTACTGGGGAGGCAGACCCCGGAGAATGACAAGTTCGAGGCCAGCCTGGGGAGCTTATCAGGACCTTGTCTCAAAATAAAATGAAAGGGGCTGGGGATGTAGCTCAGAGCTCTCTGTGTTCAATCCTTCGGCACAACAAAATGAATGAATAAGTAAATGAATACTTTTCTAGATAAAAATTTCTCTATTCAAACAAGAAATTTTAAAGTAAAAAATTTGTTTCCCACAATAAACAGAGGTAACTAAATCAGATCTTCCCTATAAACAAGGTGTTGGGCTAAAATATAGCTCAGTGATAGAGAACTTGTCTAGCATGCAAACTCTAGCACTGGGAGAAAACAAAACAGGTTGTTGGGAAGAGTTGGAGTTAACAACAACATGAAGTTAAAGATAACTCAAGAAAATCATAATAAAGCTGCGGTTAAAGAATTATTAAGACTCTTTAATATGGGATTCCTAACCTTGGACCCATGCTTGTGTTTCAGGCATTCTATAAACCTTATCTCTCCCATATTCCAAATGATGGAAATGCAAATGCTTCTGGTTTAAAATTTCAAGCTCCTCAAAAGGGATTTGGACCCTAAAACAGGCTAACAACTTTCAGGATAAAAATACTCTATGTCCACAAAGTCAAAGGAGCTTTAGCCTTCAAAGGGATTAAAGAGGACACGGTCCCCTCAAGATGAGCTTCCAGTGAGATGTGCAGGTCAGAACACTGGCCCAGCGCTGGCCTCAGCCACTGTGTTCACACTGCTCTCTAACTCACTTATCCAGAGAAGCCCACACGGTGCAAAACAGGGCGTGGGGCCCCAAAGCATCCTCTAGCTCGGTGCAGATGCCCAGCACGCTACAGGCTGCTCCCTAGGGCCGAAGATGGGGCTGCGCACCTCCCGAACAAAGCCATCCACAAGAACTCTGCAATCTTCAGATTCCGTTCCTCACAGGCATCTGTCTTTAGGAAATCGGGCAGTGCTTTTCACTCTGGAATAAACCGAGCTCCATTCAAATAACTTACTTCACTGGATGTGGAAATTATAAGGTTTCTTTTCTTTTGGGGGGAGGTTTGAGACAGGGTCTCAATTTATAGTAGTTCAGACTGCCCCTGAACTCATTATGTAGCTCAGGCTGGCCTCAAACAAGGCAATCCTCCTGCCTCTGCCTCTGGAGTCCTGGGATTACAGGTGTGAGTCACCACGCCCAGCTGGTTTCTTAAAACTCTACTGAACACATTTTCCTCCAGGATCAGGAATCACCCACAAACAGGACAAAATGACAGATCTACATTTCTCTTCTGTGCCTGGTAGGCTACGGGAGGGTAGGTACAGGTGCCCCAGACCCTGAACTGCCCAGAGTCTGGGAAGTTTCCTCCCTTGTATAACACTGTCCTGGATTATAAATAATGCAGTCCAAGCCAGTCACACGTAGGTTCGTATCTGTGATGTCATCTTGCCTATGATCATTAGAATGTCTTCTTTTCCATGGTGAGGGGAGTAAGAATTGAAAAGTCACGTCTTCTTTCTGAGCTCTTTTCCCTTCACCGGTGGCTGGGGCAGGCAGCAGCATAAAACTGAGTAATAATATTTTTAATATTTATGGTGTGGAGAACATCTGAATAATTACTGCTTTAAAACTATTACATTAATTATACTGGTAGATCAAACTGCATAAAAAATGGGTCTTTTATGACTTTCCCTTAGTGAACGTCTACAATCTCTTAAGATTACGCGTCACTCCACTGTCTATAAATACCTTACGCAGGTTTTCTTTGCGTGACACTATGCAACGATATATTTATTGGAAGGGCAGGAATTATTTGCCCTATTTAACACGCATGGAAACTTGAGTCAGTGAGGATGAATGACTTTTCCAAGAAATCACAGTAAATTACCAAACTTACATTCTGCTGTCCAGGTAAGGCCACAATAATCTTTATCATGTTACTGCCTTTTATACCATACATCTACTTCTGGAATCGAATCTACTTTTCTGGAAGCTTTAGGTACCTCTCCCCTACCTTTTTTTTTTTTTTATTTTTACACTTTTACTTTTCTGGAAGCTTTAGGTACCTCTCCCCTACCTTTTTTTTTTTTTAATGTTTCACACTTTAGAAGTAAAAAATGAGGGTGGCCCAAAGAAGAGTATTAGTCATTTTCAGACTTAAATGCACACAAAAAACACTCCAGACTGCCTGCTTCATGACCTCTCCTACCAAGAGTCTTAGTAGTGTCTATGGTGAGACCCGAGAATCTGCATTTTCAAAAGCACTTCAAGAAATGCCTGGTGTGGGGTCCTACTCACCGGGAAACACTCAATCTAAGACGTTAGGGATGCTTTTCTTAGCTAGGAAAAGGAAGGTAGCAACAGTGTTAAGTCCAGCAACTCCCGAATGATTAAGTTCACCCTACCTTGACATTGTTTGTTCAGTATATTTTAATCCTTAAAAACTAAACTATATGGATATACACAGAGAAACAGACGGATATAGGTTATCTCTCACACAGATGTAAAAACACACTTTAGGAAGCAAATTTCAAAGAAATATGAAATTTACTGGTTTTCCTTAGAGCTGACCCAGCCCATTAAAAATACCAGGCAGTTGGTTCTGGGGATTTAGCTCAGTGGTTCCACCACCTGCCTCATAAGCGCAAGGACCCGAGTTCGATCCCCAGTACCAAATAAATAACAGGTAACATCCCTCTGCAAAATTCAGTAGGCTGATTTCCTAACTCATTACCTTGTTCCACATTCTCCACCGTCCCATACTGAGCCAAAAGTCCATCCAATACCTGTAAAAGGAAGCTTCAGCGTCAGAACAGGAAGCAAAGACCGTAGTCACACAAAATGAGACAGTGCCATCCCCCGGCAAATGAATTTAAAGCAAAAACAAGTTCAGGTATAAGAATAGTGTAATAAAAAGTGATACTTCATGGCTTCCATAACAGGGCGGAATAAACATGCAGGGCTTCCATTTGCCTACTGGCCTCTAAGTAATCTGTTCACTAAGAAAGCATCACAGAATTTCTGGTCTTGGGAACTGCTAACCACCACATTCACCATGCTGCTTGGAACTCACTGACTGTCTTCCTTCTTGGATGATTCTTCCTTCACTTTTCTCTAGGGATTTTGTTATTTTACAAAGTAATAGGATGTATATGTTTGAAACTTTCCATAGTAAGAAAAAACTTCTGGTACAGTAACAAAAAAGTTACATTCCTTTAAGGGTATTTGATTTCTCTTGGGTTAGGGAATAAAACACAGGGCAGTTTGTTTTTAATGCAATAAGGCCACTCCCTGGATTCCATCTTACCTTACATTAAGATAGCACTCTTAGAAGAAGTTTTACAACTTTGAAAATACAACTCTTAACTGTTACTATTAGCAACTACCTCAAAACAAACAAAAAATCTGCTCAAAAGAACAAAGAACCTTCTATATCTATTGGTTTTCCATTGATTTTTTTTCTTAAAAAACTAACAGACCAGGTGTACATTCCGGTTCACAGCTTATCTGTCGGTGCTTGGTGGCCAGCACTTGAGAAGACAGTGAGAGATCAAAGCTTATTCTACATAATGACAAGTACAGATATAAACCAAACCTCAGATCACTCATCAGAGTGCTGAAAAAGGGAGAGGCAGGACCCAAAGGCTCTGCAGGAAAGTCTGAGGACCTCTAATTCTCAAATGTGGAAGAGAAGTGAAAAACAAGGAAACGGTCCTGGTAATCCATTCAAAAGTGATGTTGGCTTACCTCCCACTGTAGGTGAGGAGGGATGTTTCGAATCTGAATTTTCCTGCTCCTGTGAAAATAAAACCGTACTCTTGTAACACTTTCTCTAGAACATCAATTTCAGCAAATAACAAGAACAAGCTGAAGACTGCATAACGGAGTTTCCTTTCTCAGTACAGACATTCCTTCCTCATTTAGGACCAAGTCTGGTCCTGCAAACAGGGCACTAAATGAAGTGGTCACTAAATGAGAATTGTATGTGGCATGCACTCACAATATGCAGAACAAAGAAATGGTCAAAGGAAACTCCAACTTGATGACTTTGCTCCTATTTGCCTAACTCTTACTGCAGTACTGTGATGTGTAACAGCACATAAAAATATAACCCTGTACTGTGTAGTACAGTCAGAAAAAATTACAGTACTGTATCAACAAGGTATACTGTACATAAAAGACATTGCGGCTCTATGAACAAGAGGTACAGAACTTTACCCCCCAAAAAGATGGGTCTTAAATCCAGTCATTAAAGAGGCAGGTCGCTACACGAGGAGTATCTGTATTTACCAAGATAGCCACAAAAGATTCCTACTGTGAATAATGGCGCCATGTCTGAGGTTTTCAACTACTGGGGGTGGGGGGTTCTAAGAAATCCTGGCAAGCTAAAGAGACAACTTTTGCAGGGGCAGGGGTTACCAGGGATGGAACTCAGGATCTTGTGCAAGGCCACTGAGTTAAATCCGTGGCCCAAGGATTTAAATACAGATTTGCCTTTTCAATTTCCTACTAAAGTAGTTTTACTTTAAATCACCATATAGATTGTTTCTAGGAATTATCCTCTCAAAATAGTCCTGCAAATGGCCTATCCCAAGGGTAGCCAGGTTCAAGTTTGATAGATAAAATCACACACATGAGGGACCCTAAACAAGGTCAGATTTAATGTGTTTCTTCTTCTTTTTTTTGGGGGGGGTACTGGGGATCAAACTTGGGTCCTTGTGCTTGCAAGGTAGGCAACAGAAGCAGAGCTAAATCCTCAGCCCTAACGTGTTTGTCTTCTAATGTAAAATTAATTTTATTTCTGAATAGGTAATTATCATTCAAAAATTAAGACACCACAAAAAGGTGGGTCACTAAGCCTTCCCCCACCCCCACCAGAAATAAACGTGTGTGTATCCTTTAGGTTGGTTGGGTGTTTTTTGTTTTTGTTTTGTTTTTTGGTGCTTGGGACTGAACCTAGGGCCTTCACACTGAGCTGTTTATCAAACTCTTATTATTTTAAATTTCAAGACAAGGTTTTGGGAAGTCACTAAGCTGTCCAGGCTGGGCTCAAACTTGCCATCTTCTTGCCTCAGCTTCCCAGAGTGCTGGGATTACACATGCATACAACTATGCCCAGCTACCTCAAGGCTTCTCTGCGTAAATACAAATGGAGAGTTTCTTCACCCCATTTCATACCATACCCTACCGACGGACATTTGAACCTTTCCCTGTCTTATTCTGACATGTTTACCAAGACACTCTGCTGGCCTGAGAGCCTTGACTGATTTAGATTCTTTTTAGCAAACATTAAAATTAGAAAGAAAATTAATTAAAAGGTAAAACTGGGACAGGGATTTAGCTCAGTGGTGCCACCACCTTTCTTGCAAGCACAGGTCCCAAGTTTGATCCCCAGTACCAATAACAACAACCACCACAACAACAAAGGTGACACTAAAAAGTTTTTCTATCTTTTGATTACACAGTAGTTCCTGGAGAGAAGACTCAATCAGCATTTAGAGAGGTTAGGCAGCTCATTTAATTGAAGAGCACAGAAACTGCAACTCCACAAGCACTCAATTTGGGGGGTTCCCAAAGAAGGGCTGTGGTGGCCATGGTGTGTACCCTGATTCCCATTTCTTTCCTGCTGGGCCAACAGTTCCAAACAGCGGCTGCACCCAGCCACAGATTTCCCCAAGGCTTTAATCTGGACAACAGTCCCAGTTAGAAATGCTACAATTCAAGCAGAGAGAAAAAAGGAGGGAGAGGTAGGGACAGAAGGACAAGGAAACAACCAAATTAATAAAGTACTCCAGTTTTCCCGGATCCTTTGTGTGTGTAGTAGTGGGGACTGAGCCCAGGTCCACTGCCGTAAGCTACACCTCCAGACCCTTTATGGTTTTGTTTTTAGATTTTGAGAGACTGTCTCACAAAGTTGCCCAGGCTAAGCCTGAACTTGTGATCCTCCTGCCTCAGCCTCCCAGAGTGTGGGAGAGAATTACAGGTGTAGGCTGCCACATCTGGCTGAGAACCTCTAACCTTTTGTCAGGGTGGGAAAAGAGAAAAAAGAACCCAGAATGGATTTATACTTCTATGCTGTGAAGGCTGTTTTCTGATATGGCCTTTGGTAATTGTTCATAATAAAACTGCTGACAGTGATTACATGGTGACTACATGGAAATTTTCTATAGGAGATATGCCCAAACCTATTAGTAGAAAAGACATCAGAATTTTATTTTATTTTTTTGTTTTTTTTTTGTTTTGTTTTTGAGACAGGGTCTCACTATGTAGTTGAAACTGACCTGGAACTCACTATGTAGTCCAGGCTGGTCTCGAACTCACAGCGATCCTCCTGTCTCAGCCTCCCGAGTGCCAGGATTACAGGTGTGAGACACCACGCCTGGCTGGCTAAAAATGGAGTATTTCTAAAGAAATACATTTTTGTTATTTAATATAAACATCAACTCCACTGGTAACCAAGAATTTACTGGTTAGAAAACTCACAGTAGCCAGGTGTGGTGGCGCACACCTGTAATCCTAGCACTCGGGAGGCTGAGGCAGGAGGATCGCTGTGAGTTCAAGACCAGCCTGGGCTACACAGTGGAGTTCCAGGTCAGTCTCAACTACATAGTGAGACCCTGTCTCAAAAAATTAATAAATAAAAAGAAAACTCACAGTAAGAAATTCATGCAGGGCCAGAGATTTAGCTCAGCGGTTCCACCCGCCTGCCTTGCAAGCACAAGGACCCGAATTCAATTTCCAGTACAAAAAAAAAAATTCATGAGCACAAAAATATTTCAACATAGATGTAGCATTTCAACATACTTGTAGCATTATTTATAAAAGATAAGGCCTGCAGACAGTGTACCAGAGGACAAATAAATCATGTAGCCATAATACACAATATCATACAGCCATAAAAATGAAGGAAACATATATGTGCACTGTGCAGGAAACTCCAACATATGCTGTCACTAGAAGAGAATTCATTACAGATAAAATTGATCTTGCTAAAAGTATAAATCACTGGGCATGGTAGTGCATGCCTATAATCCTAGCACTTGGGAGGCTGAGGCAGGAGGATCGCCTGCCAGGAGTTCAAGGTCAGCCTGGGCTGCACAGTGAGTTCAAGGTCCACCAGAACTACACTGCACGATCCTGCCCCCCCGCAAAAAAAAGTGTAAGCCACTTATTTGTTATTAAATCTGCATTTATGTAAATGCATAGAAAAACAGTCACAAGCCAATCTGGTTGCTTAAAAGGTACTCAACTACTGTCTTGTTTGCTTTTTTAAAAAAAGAGGACTACATCCATATCTTATTTCCCTTGCTTTAAAATACAACTAGAATTTCTAGAGTTGTTTTCATGAATATACAAGATTTAAGTATACTAAAACCTGCTAAATGTAAAGCAGGTCTTGGCAGTGGCAGCAGCAAGAGCAGCAAATACCTCCCTTTTCCCATAATCAGGCATATTTGCCATCTCACTTAACAGAGAATTTATTTGGCAGACCCTTCTTCAAAGTACAAAAGCAGGCAGATTACTGTGCACCTTGAACTGAGTAATGACTCTCCCTGTGATAGCTCACATCGTCAGGCAACGCACTTAGTAACTAGAACCAACTGAGTTCTGGTACTATGCAGGACACTTGGGAAATAAGCTCTTAAAAAGCCTAACTACCAGCTGCACCTCTAATCTTAGATCAGGATAGAAAGGAAGAAACAGCGGAGGTTAGAAAGGAGATAAGAGATTGAGGCAGCAGAACCAATAACCTGGGCTCAGCCCGGTCACCTGCAAGATCCATGGAGCGATTATCCACCAGTCTGGAGTGAGGAGGGCCCCGGAGATCTGCTGACTTCCTTGCATCATCTGGGCACCAGGCCTCCTCAGATCCCCAGGAAGCCCTTCTCTCTCCGAGTGGGACTTCAATGTGTGCGCCAAACCCTGCTCTCCCCAGCTCCTGCAGAGCTCTCCAGAGCATCCCCAGGCAGAACCTTTTCTTCTGCACACTTCTGATTCTCTACCAGCTCACTCTTCACTGCAATTGTTTATCTATGGCTCCTGCCCAATTCCCTGGTGATTTCCTCAAGGACTTGTTCCTTGTTTACTAGTCTACCATTTGGCAGGGGGTTAAGGATGTAAAGGAAAAAAGGAGAACATGAAACCCCAGGGATCCAGAAAAGCACTCCTGTGGCTGCCTGTGTCTGTTCAGGATGAGGCCCTCCCAACTCAGGAAGGAAGGTCAGTCATCTATTTGTCCTTTGCCAGGAAGTCAGAGGAGTGGGGAGAGGACGCTTTTTTGCCTCTTTCCTTTAGAGAAGGAATCCACATTGTGCTTGGCTCAGTCTCAAACGAGAAGTGTGGCTCCTTCTTTCTCCCTTTGAAATCCATGAAAGTAAACCCCGCATGAAGAAAGCGAAACTTAAACACAATGACTCAGGAAAGTGACTGGTTATAAGAAAATAATTCTTCATGCCTTCAAAATAAAGAGAGTAATTTCACAGTTCCTTTAGCTTAGAAAGGAAATCCAGCTTCTGAAAACATATGTACACGGCATTTCTCTTCCTCACTGCTACGAAAGTAGGATAACAACTTCCTAGCTGGTCTCTGCCCAGTCTTGTCCCCTCCTGGCCTGCTAGTTTATTAGATGCCAGGGCTGAGCTCTCGCCCCCCAACGGTCCACCTATAGGAGAGTAAGGGCTGGGCTACAGCTCAGGGTGGAGGGGGGGGTCGTCACAAGGCCCTGGCTTCCACCCCAGCACTGAAAAGGAAGAAAAGAAAAGAAAAAGAGGGCACTAGGAGCACCACAGCCATCTA